CTGTCAAAGTTGGTGAGCGCTGTATGGTAAATAAACTACGCCATTGGTGCAAAGCTTGAAGTGATGTGGCAGTGTCAGGAGGGAAGTGTTAGCATGGCTATTCTGGGGACATCAGTAAGCTCCAGAGCAGCTACCTTTTGATTGCAGTGTTGCCTTAACGACAAGCCACATAAACAGGAGTGACATCACCAGGCAGAGAGAAGAGCAGTAATTGTGAAAAAATATTTCCACTTTATCCAGAAAGAAGAGGAAAAAATCTGCCCAAACATGAGTATTATAGAAAAAGGGATAGTAATAATACATTATGACACATGCCTTGTCAGTGTTGACATGCTGTAGTAAATGGACGTTGGTGATTCACAACTTAACCTTTCTTTGAACTTAAGGCTGCAATAAAGTAGAACTCGCAGTTGTGGAAAGCCAAAATGCTGATAAGAAAATTTCTGCAGATTCATGATAAAAAAAAAACTTTCAGATGCAGGTGAGCTACAAGATAGGAGACACTCGGCGTCCTTAGAGTCTCTGCTTGCATGGTCACATATCCTCTTACAACTTGCAGTCGTAGCACCATGTCAGCCACGGCTGCCTCTCAATCTAGACGGAACCAGAAACCACACCCCACTAACACATACATACAAACATCAAACTGCTTCATTCTGGAGATGTACAGAGAGAAATAGGAACACAATGTAAATAATGGAAATAAACTCAACCCACAACACAACACTGCTGAATTATAGGGGTGAAGTACTGGGGGCTGTGACGTAAACTCTGTGAGAATCTAAACTAGAACATATATGGGCACACTGCAGTGGTCAAGGTCAAAGCCCCCTCATTGTTTTGGTTGCAAACTAACCATTTTTCCTGCACAAACACACCCGTTTCAATTCTTGTGTATGTGATGGCAGCAGAGTGCACACGGGACAAGAAAAATGTAGGCAGGGAGAAGTTGGAGAGTGTCCATGTAGCAGTTGAGAAGTTCATCCAGAAATGACAGTGTCTCTTTTCTCTTCACCAGCCTCTCGATTTCCTTCTCTTTACACTGAATAACAGACAGAGGCAGCATCTGGTAGCAGTTATCTCACAAACCAATTTTTTTTTCACCCTTGCCGTCTATCCCCCAAAGCATTTTATCAATAAAAAGTCCTAAACAAAACACAGAAAAGGTCTTGCTAACATTTTACAACAGTAACAATCTAGGCCATGGAGCTGCCCTCCCACTGGCTTGTTCAGGTGAACCAGTTTTATGAGCATTCTTCAGCTGGGGGAGCAAAAGTTAAAGAGGGAGTTGAAGTTAAAGAGGAAGGGAAAGGAAGGGAGGGGGAACAAAGCTCTTGGCACCCCCTTCCCGAATAAACCCCCGTGTTCGTCCAATCAGCAAGGACTAGAGAGAGTGAACTGTCCAAATTCTTGCTGGTTATAAACTGGATTTGGGTGCAGTGATTGCTTCAGGCTGTCTGTTTGGCTTTTGGAAGTGTGCACGGCTCACATATGGCTCAGCTATAGCCCATCACTTGGGTATGACCTCAGAGTTGAAGAAGACAAGACCAAGGGGATGAATGAGATGCAACTTCAAACACTAACCGTCTGGCTTCTTCTGAATATAGTGAATAACAATCTGGGTTTCGGTAGCTCTCGTCTCATACTCTCACTTGTTCAGGCAAAGTAGCTGTAAATAATTTAGCTGTGGAAACACAACTGTCTCGTTGAGTAGAGTTTACTATATATAGATCTACAGAGGCAGGCAGGGAAAAAAAAGCAAACGCTACCTCATTAGTACTACCATACCAACACACACCTGTGTATGGTACACACACACTAACAATGACAAATACAGATTACTGTCACTGCATGAGTGACCTTGAGATGTGGGAACTAAACAGGATGCTGCTTCACACATCTGACCACAGGAAACTTTTGTATTCTAAATTAAACCTGGTTGTAAAACAGCCTCAGACAACAGAGTCAGGTCTGACTGGAAAACTTCAGTACAACTGCTGAATGACTTAACTAGTAAACTGGTCAAGATAAATATCATGAACACTGATGAAAAAATGATTACTGAAAATTTAAAGATGTAACTTTTCACTGAATGACAAGTACTTGAAAGTTATCAGAGAGAGGCCATATTTCTGGTGTTTTCCTCGACTAACCTTGCACTGCTGCCTGACAAAAAGGTACTATGATGAAGGAGTCATATTTCACTTAGGGGAAACAATCAGGCTTTCCTTTCAGCTCTGTGTGTCGAGAGTCCGCTGCTCATCCACACTGCTATTAATCTTAAAGTGAACACATACCACATGGCCAATTGGCAGCTGCTCAAAATTTAACTTATCTCCGTCTCTCTGAAGGTACACAGAGTGAACGCTAAAAGAATGCCATCTATTTAGACATCAGTGATGCAAAAATACAGCTTGACAGAGACAGATTAGAGCCAGTTAGAAAAATGTGGCTGTGCCACACAAAACTGGCAAGCTCTCCATTTATTTTTCCTCTCTCTCTGATACCTGACAGTAAGTGCAAATTAAAATTAAAGCAGTGTAAAACAGTTTGACATTTGACTTTTTTTTTTTAATTTCAGGACTATTTAAAACTAATTTTTGAACACAGAATTTTTCATTAAGAAACATGCTTCAATACATCTACAGTTACACATATGTGTAGTGTTTACAACTTGGGTGGAGATAGTGCTCAAAAGTGTGCCCCACTTTACTGAGTGGCTACAGATGCCAATGAATAAATTTGAATTGCCACAGCTAGTGCATTTTTGCATAGATTAATTATCCGTCACTTCCGCTGCTTGGATTTACTAATTTATTAAGTCTGTTTGGTATCTATCTTGCAAAAATATATTTTAAGTGTATTATTGACAGCACATATGTGCACATATTTATAATCAAAGTTTCGGTTTAGCCAAATATCAGTAATGTCACTAAATGTGTGCTCATTCGATGATAAATCAGGCGATCTGATGTAACCACAGAATCCCCACCACAGAGAGACTTCTACCAGTCCCTTGAGAAAAAAGTGATAAGTTAATGAATTATTGAGAGCACAGGGGCTGGCAAACAAAGAGCGAAAGCCATGGACCCCAGGCACTTCTTCACCCCATCTGCAGTCAAAGAATCCCCCCAAAGATTGATTCATTGTTAACGCAGCCTGACACCCTGTGTGAGGGAGAAAGAAAGTGGTAGATAAAGGGACAGAGAAAGGAGGACAGGGGGCTTCATTTGCCAAGAATATGAGCAGAAGCAGTCCAGTGGACAGGTTCCCACAGGGGTCATTCTGCCACTTACAATAATACCACATATGTGTGCTTGAGTAATGGCATTCCATCAGACTCAAAATAAAGACAAGTTAGCTCATCTGACAGCTGAGCACTGCCAGCAGCACTTGTTAATTCCCAGCTACATGCCATTTAAGTGCCCACATTACTGTGATACTGCAGCCCAATTAATGAGTGACCAGCAAGAAATGATATAAGCAGGAATATTTATCAGTAGGTGACAATTTCATTGCCAGACCATGTCGTAATACAACAAAAATGCCTAGATGATTTTAGAAAGTCTCACATGGAAATGAGCGCTGAGCCGTAGATGCCTGCAAGTATTGGCAGGGATGGCCCCAGGCAAAGAGAGCAACAGCACACCTCAACCTCGGCCGTTCCAGTGGAATGACTAACCTGCCTCCTCATTGTCTGCCTACACATGAACACACTCTCCAAGAATGTCCTTCTACCACCCCAGAAACTCTGTACTCAGCATATAGCTTATAGAACACAGAGAAAGCAAACCTGGACTCTACCTGAACCCTGGCTTTGTTTAACCTCCACGGCACTGAAACACATCCATCTCCCTCTGCCAGTCTGCCTGTCTCTCTCTGGTACACACATATACCTGATAGGATTAATGAACAGTATTATGGGCCACTGTATCCAACCATTACAGTCATGGATACTTTATCTCACTACAGCCATGCAAATAAATAAACAGATGCTGTGGACTCTCCAGAGCGGTCACACTGCAAACCAATGAGAAGCAGTGATGTACTGGTAAATATTGGGATCTGCAAGTCATCATACATTTAATAACCATCAATAAAATAAGACAGCTTTTCTCTGAAGCAGGCACCAGTTTTATATCAATTTATCTGCTATGATTTGTTACATGCTACTGTATTATGTGTGTCAAATTATAAGTAGGAAAACTTCAACAAACAGAATGTGGGTAGGTCTGCAGGTCTGCACTACAAGTGCGTACATCCTCCACTATATTCATGGTGAAAGCGAAAACAGCAAAAGAGCAATAAAACACAATTTTATATAAAATTTGTTACACGGAAAACTACTGCGGTGGAACTCACGTTAGC